ACTAGAATCCTTATTCTGGGGACCCTCAAAAAGGTACCCCTAATTTTGGGAAACTACCATGTAGTGGTTTAGGGTTTGGGTGTTTAGGGGTTTAGGGGTTTAGGGCAGTTTAGGGTTTACGGATGTAGGGGTTTAGGCTGGGGTTTAGGCTGGTTTAGGACTTAGGGTTTAGGATTTAGGATCCACATATCTTATGCCCCAACACAGATCCCGAAAGGTTACACTGCTTGAAAGGTTACAATCCTTAGTATGAGGGCCTGGTTCTTGGAACTGTTTGTTTCAGGCTTTAGGTTAAGGCTTGGGGGCTTTAGGGTTATTCCAGGAGCCCTGATCGGGATCCTGTAGAGCGGCCCCATGGGTGTTGTACAATGATTTGGAGACTGATTCTACGCCAGAAAAAGGGATACTGCAGAAGCAAGATTCTTTGGGATCATGACTCCTGGTGGTGATTTCTGTCCGTGTGTTTTACCCCTTGACAGGTGTGCTCTCATGCTTCAGAAATCTTGCAAGATTGTAGAACCCTCATAGGACTTCTCAAAACTGAGTACGCCTTTCTAGGAAAACCCGCGGAAGAGCGCACAGTCTGGGAATCTAATGTGCAAGCCCAATCCTGGGTGGGGGTCGGAAGTTGGAGTATCAAGGCAGCATGCGCTGGTCCTTCAGTCCATCTGTTGGTTTCAGGGAAAAGGTGTTACAGTTTCATGTCGATTCAGTCAGGGACACGACCTTCGCGGTCCCCTTCTGTTCAATGCCAAAAAACCAAGCATGTATGGGAGTGCCGCTGATACGCCTAGGAAGGGCTGGAACCTGAAAGGTAAACATTCCTCAGCTACAGAAACTCTACACTTGCCACCCGCCCCTGGACAACTTCTTAACAGTCTTTCTACAAGGTAATTTCCCAAAATAAGGGGACCCCAATATAGACCCCAAAATACTAGAGTCCTTATTATTTGGACCCCCAAAAAGGTACCCCGAATTTTGGGAAACTCCCAAGTACCTCCCCCCCCATGTGGAAGCATACTGTGACGGAAAAAAGCAACCAGGAGCAGCGCGCCAGAAAGATCTTGGAAGACAGGGAGGAGCTTAAGATGGCTAGCATCCTGCAGCAAAGGCCAGGGTTTAGGGTTTAGGGTTTAGGGTTTAGGGTTATTTCCTCAGTTACAGTTGTTTATGACATTATTGTAAGTTATCACCATTACTGTTATCCTGGTGTTCTTAGGATATGATAGCAGTAGTGCATTGTCAATTGATATATCAGCTTGCTATCGTTAGAGTGTTGTCAGCAGCGCGGTCACGGCCGGCATTCGGACAGTTACCAGCATCAACATTCTATGCTTCCATCATGTGGGTTGTTCTCAAAATTCTGGCCCCTTTTGGATATAGTATAGTTTATATTACGGCACCTAATATTTAGGGTTACCAAAACGGGACCCTAATTTGGGGAACTACCCATGTCTGCCATGCCTGCAGGTCAACAGGGTGCTCGCATAATTCATTCTCATTGCTGCAATGATTGTCGCTCTTGTTCATCCTCACTTCGGTTCCCCAATGTGTGGCACAAGGATTGCGGGGTACCTACTATAATGGAGAATCAAATGGAAAGTAAAATGGAAAATTAAATGGAAACTGTGTTTGTATGAGGGATTATAAGGATTAGGGTTTCCCAAAATTAGGGGTACCACTTTGGGGGGTCCTTATAATAAGGATTATAGTATATGGGGATTGTCCTCAATTACTGTCNNTATTTGGGTTCCTATTATAATACGGGGCCCTATATAAGTTTCCCCCATTTTGAGAACAGTAATTTAGGGAAACTTCCATATGGGGGTCTATCTTGGGGTCCCCCTATTTAGGGAAACTACCATGTGTAGCACAGGGATTGCCCGTGTAAGTGTTGGCCGTTTTCCGCCGTTTTCCCGCCTCAAAGCCAGCCACTCTTTACCTGGAGGTCTCTAAAGATCATCCGCTTTGATGTCTCATAGGGAACTCCAGAAGCCTCCTGCAATTCCCAGAGATCCCTTCACTCCCGAAACGAGGTCTTGTTTGAGAGACCCCATGTTGTCTGCCTGTTTCCGTCTATTTCAAGTCTTCCTGGCAGGGCCAAGGACGAAAGAATGGCTCAAGCCCGAGTGGAAGAGGCACGCGGTTCAAGGTTTACAGTCCGGTTTGGGGTTCAGGGTTTAGGGTTCAAGGTTTTGGGTTGAGGATTTAGGGTTTAGGGCTTCAGTTTGGGCTGGAACTTGGAGATTCATGGGTTGTAGTGTAAAAAACGTTTGTACCTGTAGCCATCTTTGGTTTACATATTCACTCAGAACGCCGCATGTGCCTAGAATCACCCCCAGTTCTATGGATTCTTTGGGCACATGAAATCCCTGGTGTGTCCTGTGTTTTGAGGTTATGTAGCGGATCTTGTACGTAGCGATGACAAGTACGGAGTGGGCCCTACTTGCGTGGCATTGAAGGAGTCAGGTGCGGCTTAAGTTCATTCAGTGATTAATGCTTACAGAAGTCATCTCCAGAATGAGTGGCAATAGGCCATAGTGGTTTATGCCTCATTGCACGAAAATCGGCGTATCGCAAACAGTTCTTCATTCGCAGTTTACGATGATGAAGCCCCTTGCCTTTCGGGGTTGGCGAGAAACCTCATGTAACAGCGCAGGAGAAGATGCGTGCAGAGATGATGCAGAAGTTTGCAGAGGAGCATTCAGCTTCTGCTGGAAGCTACCACCCTGAAAGCGTGCCCTTGCAATGATGCTTTCGTTGAGGACGACCGCCTCGAGCAGCTCAATGACAACAAGAGGCAGGGCAGCGGCTTGTGGCCATTTGCATGACTGTTGCTAATACTATAATGACGTGATACTTCCATCACTATTATGAAGCTGTGAGCATTAAGTGTGCGACAGCCACCATGGCTACCAAGACTCCTGCAAAGATTGCTGCTGCTACTCCTCCCCCTCACCTTGTCCAGGGTGCCTTTGGGAGGCCCCAGCTTTAGGAAGGAGATATATGGGGATTGGGAAGCCTGCGCTTTAGGAAACAATCCCTAAATAGACTAAACCCTAAACCCCAAATCCTAAACCCTAAACCTTACATCCTAAACCCTACATCCTAAATCCTAAAGCCTACATCCTAAATCCTAAACTCTACACCCTAATTAAACCGGGGCTGTGAAGGCAGCTCTCTGAGGCGACTGAAGTTGGAGGCGCACAAACGGGAGACCGAGCGCTTGCTGCAGATCCGCCGCGAAATGTATGACCTGGCAAGACAGCAGGCGGGGCAAAAGGCTACAGCTATAGAATTTAGGGATTTAGGGTGTATTTCTTGTATCTCTACACTGCAGAATTTTGTATTTCTTGTGTCACCGTCTTCGTGCAGTCATTTTTCGCTCAGTCTTTGCTGGTCCTAACTGCGATTCTCACGCAGCATCGCCGCTTCGAGCACAGGAGCGCGAGGAAGCGGAAGCGATGAAGAAGGACGAGCATCTCCGGCAGGCCCCCATGGGAGTTCACAGGGTTTAGGGCTTAAAGTTGAGGGTTTAGGGGTGAGAAAATAGTGGTATTGCTTCGAAGAGCCAATGGTTCTAGCATCATAGGGATTGTGTAAGGATTATGGGGAGGGGATCGTTTAGGGATTAGAGCAGGTAGTAAGGGGAGATTTGGTACCCCCCACTTTTTTTCACGGCAGGAGAATAAACGGACCTAACTTGATATGCATAGGGAATTCATAACTGAGAACTAAATGTAAAAGCAATGGAACGGCCCTTTGGCTAACAATGAGTTGTGAAATTCCCTCCATTATTTGTTTGTGTTAGGTTGGCAATATGATTCACCCTAAACCCTAAACCCTAAACCCTAGCGGTATGAGCTGGGCTCCTGTTGACTGTACGAAACGTAGAAACGGCAGGCATGGTAACCATGGCAGGGGTGGATACATTTCTAGCCATGGAGTCTGCCATCACCATACATGAAGTGGTGCCCTTCAAATCTACAAGGGGGACCTTCAGAATCCCTTTGTAATCCCTTTTGGAGCACTCCAAGCCCTAAACTCGATAATCCTACACGAGCCCTGGGCTAAAGGTGTAGTATATTCCTTAAAGGTCCCCCCCAAACCCCTTATAAATCTCCTGTAGGACCCCTGGACTAATGTTAATCCGTAGTTCACACAGAGTTGGAGCCTGAACTTTTGCAGGAAGTGATCCAAGCAGAGCGCAAGAGGATTATCGAGGCAGGGTCCGGGTTGACAGGAAGTGAAGGCATCAAGCAATTGAAACAACCATATCAGTGATATAGTGATAACATAATATATGAATGTATTAGGATATCATTATAAATTATAAAGATTTGCAGAAAATATGCATACAGGATATTACGTATATTTTGATAACATAGTAATAGGAATATAATCATGAGAATTTCCCTCTTTCTCAATATTGAAGTCTGCTTTGTCGCGTTCCCCCGAGAACAGTCTGCTCTCAAATACTTGGATCTCTGGAAGAGGAAGGGCGCCCGATTCCCCAGATGGTCGGTCCATGTGAAGGAGCACGCGAGGGAACTCCGGAACTTCTTGCCGCCGGGGACGCTCAAGAGCTCGGAGGCTTCTGGATGTGGGTTTAGGATTTAGGGTTCAGGCTTCGAACTTACTTACCCTCTAGGGTTTAAGCATTAGAGGTTGGGGTTCAGGGCTTTTTTGTGTAGAATTCTGGGGGAGGCGGGGTCGAGTTTACATCAGCGCTTTGCCGAACCTGGACTTATCTCATCCAAGAGAGTCCAATTTGACATCTGAAAACAGCTAATGCCCAAGCCCTAAACCCTATGAAGTCTAAAGTCTTAGTTGAGGGCTGGACAACCGCCACGCTGCCCGAGCTTCGCGAGCTGCAAAGAACGTCATGGAGCCCAGGTCAAGCTGGGCAACTGCCGCCATCATGGCACCCTGTCGAGGCCCTCCTACGGAGGTTCTTATAAGGGTAGCGTTATCAAGGACAAATCCTAAACCCGAGGGTTTTTTTGCCGTCGCTTGTCCGGGACCTTCCTAGACCACGCCCCAGGGGCTGCCAGGCCTGGGGGTACCTCCCACAGCCAAAAGACGTTAAAATCCTTATCGGCTCGGACGAATTCCGGCTGTTTGGACCAATTCTGGCATTTTTGCTGTCGTTGCGATCGTGCCGGGCCTCTGGCGTGCCCGGACCAAACTCGGACCAATTCTCGTTTTCAGCCACTCCCAGACCAAAACTGCACGTCCAAATAGCTGCTCCCAGACGAATTCTGGTGCGCGGAAGTGCTCCGACAACAGGCTCACAGAAAGCCAGCACTCGCCATCACCATTGAGTGCGCGGCTGTCCCATGCAGCCTTGCAAGTAACCCAACATCGCGTCTTGAATGCTGACCGCCAAAAAACAGTCTCACAGAAAGCCAACACTGACCCATTACCATTGAGAGCGCGGCTGCTCCACGCAGCCTCAGAAGTAACCCAGCAGCGCGTCGTCGCGACCGCTGACGGTTCTTGCTTTGGCCTTGGATGTCAACCTATTCGGGAAAACAGCCTCGCAGAAGGCCAGAGCCTTGAAGCACTTCACATTATGCCCGGTCCCCGATTGAATGGCGGCTTTCGTTGGTGGTGATTGGGCCCTTGCCGCGATGCCCGGGAGACTTGGGGGCCCAGAAGACCCAAGGGACTAAACCTTAAATTGCTTGAACTCAGGGTGGTCATGGGGTGGGTGGACTGCCACGCACCCTATGCCGTGACCACACCCTAAACCTCAACCCTAAAGTTCAAACCCCTCCCAAACAAAAGTTTAAGGCCCAAGGTCTAGAGCACAAAGCCCAAGCCTGGTAGGCCAGACTGTGAACATTAAGCACCAACTGCAGAGCCCTGAGCCATGAACCCTAAAACCTCGATGACTGTGTTTTACATCTGCGGACCATCCCTAACCCTGAAGTCTAAGCCCTAAACCAAGGAACCTTAAACCCTAAACCTTAAACCCTTAACCCTAAATCAAGGAACCCTAAGCCCGAAATCCAAACCTGGGTGGCCAGACCCTAAATCCTCCACCCTCTAAGCCCCAAAAGGCCATCGACTCAAACCCTAAAGTCTTATCTGAACGCTAAGCAAATTTCAAGAAACATGCGCGCTGGACGGGGAACTGAAGAAGGATGCGCTAGGACCTCCCACCCTGGTGTAGTATACCCTTAGGATAACTCCATGTACCGATTTATTTGGCCACCTATTCTATGCAAAATGGATGTGCTAGAATATGTGCTAAATGCAGTTGAGGTCCGTGCGGATCCGAAACCCCCAACTCCACTCCATCTGGTGGCTAACCAATATGTCTCGAACAGTTTCTTGTAGCACAGTACGTGGTGATAAATTTGCCGGACATGGACTGGTATGATCTGCCCAGACGGACAATGGGCGCTTGAAAAAGAAACCTCAACTCCCAAACGTTGGATCCTAAACGCCTTTAAAAGCCTAAATCCAAAAACCTAACTAAACCATGAACGAAACCATCTCTAGGACATGAAGCTGGTCTACGGGAGCGACCAAGCCGTGGCAATGGCATACTGAAAGGAGCTCTCCAGGGATTCTTTCAGTAGAGATAGGGCAGCAATGAAGTGAGGTGCCAAATGCAAAAAATGCAGTCATTTGTAGCAAGCCAGCTTTTTTAATGTGCTGTCTCTTGTGTCGTCCTAAGTTTCGTAGACCTTACAGCCTCCTACCCTTCCCCATGCCGAGTAACTTTGGAGGAGGAACCTGCCATCGGTCGTCTCACCAGAATCAGCTGAAAGAGCTCGCGGAAGAGGCTGGTCCAGTACAGAACGCGATGCGGAGAGCTTTAGGCTAGCTCATGTGGGCACTATAGTTAAAATATGTTGGAAAATATCATGGCATATTGCCAGTGAAGGCTTAGAGCAGGAATCCAGGGGAGGACTGTAACTTGATCCTGCAGATGTTCTTGCATGAAAGGATTGGGCCCAGCCTCTAGTGTCTTAGGCATCTAGGGTGCTGCCGCTGCGAATCCACGCGAAGCCGTGTGGCCCCAAGGGCCGCGCGGCGATCTAATCCCAGTCTGGCTTGATGCCGTGTTGACGTAAAGCTTGCTCAATAGTAGGGATCCCTTCTTGGGGGGTTGTTGTAAGAACGTTCTTGTTGTATTCAGAGGTACATGAGTAACCCAAACCTAGTGCACACCCACCTGAATGCAATTATTAGCTGGAGCTCCCGAAAGGGATGCTTTCCATCGCTGCTTCCTTCAAGGGGAAGATGCAACCTGCATGGCATGAAAAAAGTGGGCTCGCGAGGAACCACGGTGTGCACACGGTACACGGAATCATCATCACCCATCTTGGTAGTTTCCCAAAATACGGGGACCCCAATATAGACCCCAGAATACTATAATTCTTATTAAAGGGACCCCAAAATGGTACCCTAATTTTGGGAAACTCCCTCTTTGCTCAGCTAACAGCCAAGGATGCGTGCCGCCTGCAGCCTAGAGACACGTGTTGAACTGCTGGATCCGCATTTGGGTGCATGCCAAGATTGGGCTTCCCAATCCTACCGAGGCCAAGCATCCGCTTGGTTATGCAGAGGCACGGAACAAACTTGTGCCTGTGGAGCACCACTTGGTTTAAATCAACATCCCTGGAGGTGTCTACTTGCACCTTTTCTCCTGCTTTTCCTGATTGCCGGACCCTTGACCTTCGAACCGTTGTGCAGCTTTCACTTCGGAAGTCTGCAGTTTCTGAGGCTCTTGCTTGGGTTTCAGGTGCGGGCCAGAGCTTCCAGATTCTCCCTGCTTGTCATGCGCTGGCTGTGACAGGATCCATCCCCAACTTCAGCCTTGCACTGCATGGTGACAGGCCGGGGACCTAGCCTCCTCCATCTTGGCCTGCAAGCCTTTGGTGTGCCGTGCAAGGCGAGCCCAGTCAAGATTCCTGCGCGCGCCTGTCCGGGAGCCCTTCGAAGAAGCCGAGGACGGAAGTTGAGCGATGCTCGTTTTTCCCGCAGGCTTCTTGTCATGTTCAGCTGAATCAATTGCTGGCCAGGAAACAAGCGCGGAGCCCGTGACCTGGTTCTTGGCATTCCTCGCTGGCAAAATCAAAAGCCTTTGGGATGGGTCGGCGTAGGTCGCTGGACTGCCTGTGTCCACCCAGCCGTAAACCTGAAGAGGCCAGAACCGTGGTGCTTCTGGCAGCCGCATGTCAGCATGAGACACCTAGTTAACGCATCTGCAAGCTCAGCCATTGGGCAGCATCTCCCATCTTCGCAGAAAGAGAATGTAATCACTCTGGCCTTGCTCTGGCAACCTTCAACATGGTCTGATGTCCAATGCAAGAACTCTTTTCACTCCTTCGCCTCACCGCTTGCTAGGCAGAAGAGGCACGTTGCATGGTTGCAAGAAGTGTTGCATGCCACATGTTTTTGTCCCATGAGCTGAAGCAGTCCAAAAACATCACAAGCAAAGTGGGGCAAGAAGCCAAGGCTTGGACCTTCTGGGAGGCTGGGAAGGAGGTGCTCTCCGCTACAGCGCCATTCTGCAAACAGTTGCGGCCCCCCCCTTTTGGATATCCTGGTCTCCATGGCAATCCCTGCAAGTCACCAGGAAAGTCACCTGCCCTGAACACTGTGTGCCCATGCAACCCCACACCCCAGTCCCATCCACCCAACATCTTCAGGACACTCGCTCTGGCAAAGTGTCCTTCAACTCTGAATCCACACAACCAAGCCACCTCAAGAAGGCCATTGCAGCCTGGCTGCTAGAAGCAGCACCAACCGAAGCGTTGAATCCCTGGCTGACATTCCCTCTTAAAGAGGCGATTGGCAGTTATGGATCTGACTTCTCACATTCAGGAAGGAGACTTGCTGGAGGCTGTCCGGTGAACAGCTTGTTGGAGGCGATGTCCCAAGCAGATACGTGCGAAATCACCGCGGTCGAGCGGACCGACCGCGGCAGCCAAGCTGGGAAGGATACTGGCCTGCTTGAGTTCCTGACCATCGGTCAGTGTGCTGCTGCCTCAGTAAGATGAGCAACTCTGCAAATGACCCTTTTGGGCTGCAGATGCCCTGCTTAGTCCTACGTGGCCTTCCTGATCTATGGCGCCCTTGTCGGCGCATTGAGCGGAATGGGCCCCGGCACGCTGGTTGGGGGCTAAGAAAATTTAAGGCAGACACAGCTTGAGGGCCTGTGTCATGGCAGGCAATCATTGGCCTGGTGCTTTTGTGCTGGCCGATCGCTGCATGCAAGGTAGGCTCTTCATGTTGCCATGCCAATGACCCCAGTAATCGCATGGCCGGGTGCAGTAGATGAAGAATCGCAGGTCTGCTGCCGGTGTTGCCGCAAACGCTGCTGCTCGTGGCTTCCTGAGTGCTACATGCATGCGCGCGAAGAGAGGCATGTGGCAGTGGACGTATGAAGCTTACCCAATGCAGCTGAGGTGTTGCCGTGAAGGAAAGGAGATCAGAAAGATAGGCCAGACCGTACGTAGACAGTAGTGGCCAGCGCAGCAGTAGATGCAACGAGCTGGTCAAGCGCACTTTGACAGGAAATGTCAAGAAGGTTGTGATCCTTTCGCTATCCTTGGCTGGTCTTGGGGGTATGGCTTTGTTGCCAATGGCAGGCACAGAGCGAGGTTGGGGGGAATTAAGTACGTGGCGTTCCATTTTGAGCTTGGAAGGTCTGATGGGAGATGTCAAAGCTGGCACTGCTGTGGCCCAGAGTGCGGACTGCGCATCCAGGCTAATAGCCTTTTAGGAAATCACCTGTTGGTTGCATCCATGTAGAGAGTTCAGCTTCTGATGGTGTGCATGATTGGTGGTCTCCTTGGCTTACATGCGAGGGAATTCATCCGGTCGGTCTTGCAGCGGCCTTATCCAAACTGTGCCAACGCGCTAGCGTGTTTGACCACGAGAGTCCCTGGCATAAGGGGCGACGTGACCGCCATAGGTGATGTGCCATCTGCACCTGCTGGAGGACGTGAGTGATTGTTGCAGCTTTGGAAACATGTGCAGGTTTCCCAAAATTGGGGGTACGGGTCCTTATGAGAAGGACTATTTTTATTTTGGGGTCTATATTGGGGTCCCCGCTTTTTGGGAAATTGCCCAAACCTTCCAGGAGGTGGATCTGGGGGCTCCTCAGGGTCTACGGCAAACACTACAGATACTGGGTCCACAAACTCGTCACGACGTCTGCAGGCCCGAGCCGAAAGACAGTCATTGCTTGGGTACTGCCCCCACTGTGTAACAGTTGGAGAATATTTATCAGATAGTTATAGTTCCCCCTTAAGTAGATAGAAAATGGGGTACATGGGGATGTGAGTATGATACACAAAGCCATCTTCTGCCTACTTAGGGGGGACCATATACATAGATAGAGAGATGTATATAGATATAGAGCCCTTAATATGACCCCAAAGATAGACTGTCATTGCTGAAGTTAACCTTGAAGCGCAAAAGGCATTCCTTGGCGTGACCTCAGCCGCGCAAGAAGACAAGCTGGCTTGCTTGGGGGGGGGAGGGTTGAGGGGTTTAGGGTTTAAGGGTTTAGGGTTTGGGGTTTAGGGTTCCGTCTCAATTGACAAGAGGACTGCTAAATGGGCAGTTCCCCAAATTAGGGTCCCATTTTGGTACCCCTTAATATTAGGTGCCGTAATGTAATCTATAACCAAAAAAGGCCCAGAGCCGAAATACTTCCACAGGACTGCAGAGTAGAACCTGTGACGCTAGCAGCGCTTAATGCCCAAAACGTTCAGCAGCTTCATGTAACCACTACATAACAACAGTTTCCATTTCATGTTCTATTTTCTTTTCCATTTGATTCTCCATTATTGGGGGTAATATCTCTGTAGGCCCTCCTATATAATCTCGGGGAGTCTCCTTGGGAAGTATCTAAACATAGTACTTTTTTATATAGGTAGAAGGAGACTTGATAATAGGCTTGCCCTGAATCAGTGTGCCATGCTTCTGCCAGTGCTGGGAGCCCCACGCCAGGTCGAGACCGTGTCTTCAGCTGTGAGTGCTCTGGCAGCAGCGGCGGCACAGGCCTTTTCCCTAAACCCTAAACCACACCCTAAGCCCTGAAATTTAGGGTTTAGGGTTAGGGTCTAGGGCTTAGGGTTTCGGGAAAAACCCGAAAAACTTAAAGTGGACCTTCAACGGGTATTTTCTTAGCTCTGCTCCATCCTGCTGGCTGCCATTTGATGATTAACAGATGCAAGTAAGTAAATTCTGGCAAGTGACACAGATTTTAAGTGGTAGGATGCATTGGTGACTGTACAGTAGCTGAGAGAAGGTTTGCTGCTTCAGTAACTTGGCAATGGTGTCGAACTGCATGTTTGGGCCCAGGGGTCATAGAAGGAGCGCGAAGAGAATCGCTTTTCCTTGTGGAGAAGCTGAAAAAGGATAACTGCAAGGTTGTTTCCTGCACCCGTTGTTTTTCTACCATAGTCCCAATCTGGCTGCCTGTGGAATCCACCATACCTTGTGGTTTCAGGGCCGGGAGGAGCCCCTGACTCCCAAAGTTTGAGGCGCTGAAATTGGGCTTCATCAGCCCCAAGCCCTAAACACTTCTCCTGAGATAGAGTCTAAACCCCTTAAAGTGGGTTATATAGGGGACTACTATACAGGCCATTAAGGGGCTACTAGGAGTATAGACGAAGGCTCACTCAATCCTTCAAGAGGATCCCACGAACCCCCTTTAAATCCCCAACAATCTACGGGTGCTTGAAAGTCAATCCCAAATCCAAAGTTCAAGCACTGACCGCTCAACTCTGAACCCTCAGGCCTAAATCCTGAACCCTAAATCCTAAACCCAAAGCCAAAATCCAAAACCCTAAATCCTAAATAAGCCCTAAATCCTAAACCCCAAACCCTAAATCCTAAACCCCAAACCTGTGACCCTAAACCCCAACCCTGAACCTACTCCTTCTGAGACATATCGTGCTGCTGGTGGGGCGGCCAGTTGTTCCTTCCCCAGTACTTGACCCTGCTCCACCTTGCGGTGATCGGCGCTTCGGGTGCGCGAGGGGGCCGAGATTCGCGTCATCCTCCTCAAGGGTGCGATTACCCGCAAGATCCATGCTGAGCTGTCGTTCATGGCGGCTCCTGCGGCGGCGACTGTGCCGGTAGAGGACTCTGACATGGAAGATGCCCCCGGCAGCCCGTCGGGGGGGGTCAAGTGCAAGCAGCGGCCGGTGAATGGGTTTAGCATGCAGTTGCTCCAGGAGATGTTTCAGACGTTGCAGTGAGTTTGAAGCAGACCATGGAAGCCGTTGAGGCCAGATCCAAGAAGAGGCTTGATGGCCTGGAACGTAATATTCTCGACAAGATCCGTGGACGAACGGCTTGCGAAGGCTGAGGACAGAATGGACCTGTTACACAAGGAGAACAAGATCCTCACTGAGCGGATTGCTGCACTCGAGCAACGAGGACCTTCTACGGCGGACACTACCGTCCTTGACAGGAAGATGAACACAGTTGTCCTTGGGGGGTGGCCCCGCGATACGAAGAAGGAGGACATTGTTGAGGGGGCCAGGAAGATCGTCGAGAGGTTGGGCCTGCAGGGCAGGCTCGAGCAACCGTTCTGGAGCCCAGGGTCCGGAGCTCCGTTGCACTTAGCAACTTCTCCATGCAGCGGGGGGAAAGCGCAGAAGGCCTGCGTGCCCGCATGATACATGTGGTGATGACCATTTCGGGGGCCAAGATCTCCGTGACGAATGAGCAGGACTCCAAGTTGCATTGGTGCACATTGTCCAAACCTCGTCAGGAGCGCCTTCGGTCCTCGCATGCGAGCAAAGTCAGGAGGTTGCTGTACTCTCTGGACCAGGACATGGGTTGTGTCGAAACCGAATACGCTTCGGGGACGGTGTGGCTGAAAGACTGCTGCATTTCAAGCGCTACCAGACCGGCTCCTGCACGCTCCATGCAGGGCAGGTCCTCTGTGGATGAGGTGGCTCGCCTGGCAAGTGTGGACAAGGAGACTGTCAAGACGGCCTGGGAGGCTTGCTTCGCGAACTGATCCAACGGAGAGCACAGTCTCCGGGAAGCAAAGCGCAGCCTGCAGAGCAGCCACTGCAGTCGGAGCCGGCGGGGAGCGGTTCGCCTCCTGAGGACTTGGACGTGCAGAAGGGTGTTGTTGCTGGAACACCGAAGGTGTCCCAGGATAGTGTGCGTTTGCTTCGGTTAGGGTCGTGGAATTTGGCTGGCATCGCTGAGGGCGATGCCATGACAATTTTGGCAGAACAAGTTGGCATGGATGTGGTCGCTGTTCAGGAATGGCCGAAGGCCAAACCGGGATGGAAGCTCATGTTGCATGCCGGCTACAATGCAGTGATTTTTCAGGACATCATGACTTACAGGGGAGTTGGGGTAGTGTACAGGGACAGCTCTCTCAGATTGCTCAAGAAGAAGTCCACGGCCAGAGGCTCGTGGTTCCTCTTTCGATGTAAACAGACTGGCAAAGACGTGTGGGTAGGAAGTGCTCACTTGCAGGGGAGTGAGTGCAATGCGGAGTACGAGACTCGAGTCATTTCAAGAGTTCCTGGAGGGGCTGCCCAGCAACAATGTTCCGTCAGTCTTCCTCGGTGAGTTCAATGTTGACTTCAGATGGTCAAGGGCTAGTCCTGGTCATATGGGCCTTCACAATACCAGATGGTCGATGATACTGGACCTTGCGTCGGCGAGGGGCATGAGGCAGTGTTGTCCAGTAGCTGAACAGTTAGGCACGCCTACTTGGAGACCCCGAAGGGCAGGGGCGCGGCCCACACAAATTGATGGTGCTTTCTCATGTAGGGCTGCAACAACTGCCTTGAAAATCTCGGTTGACTCATGCAACATGTTTGGTACGGATCACGAGTTGGTTTCGGATGATGTTAGACTTCCAGGTGGTGCTCCTCACCCGCGGTGCCAGGGTTGGGGTCAGGCCTATTCCCTTACCGTTGGGTGCGCTGGATCAGGAGAGACTGACAGAGCTTGCTGGTATATGCACCGCACCTAGGCCCGGGAGACCGAAATTCAGGCCGAGCACGGACACTGTGGAAAAACGGCTGGTGGCTAGAAGAGGCAGGGATGGTTGGGCATGGAGACAGTACTTGACGGCGTTGCAGATCGATAGACAGAAGTGGCAGGAGGAGAGGCTCAAGGAAGCGTCCAGGGATTGGGGAGTTTATCGAGCTTGTTCGTCGAGCTTGTTCGTCCTCGGGCTTCGTGGGGGGACACTTACTTTGCAGACACTGACCCCACCGGTGACATCAAACGACACTTCGAGGGGGTGTTCTCTGACCCCGCCCAGGAGGGTCTCGATGGGGATCTCGTAACAGGGACAGGGATGCAGTTGGGGGAAGAGGAAGTCAGAGTGGCGGTGCTGCAGGTCGAGTTCCTGGTTTCTCTCAGTCAGGTTCCGAGGAACTTAACAGAGTTGACGGCCTTCTTTCAGCAGGTGTACCACTCCAAAATCATCCCGGCGGACTGGTCACAGAGTGTACTTGCGCTATTGCCAAAGAATCAGGGCCCCTGCGTACCGTCTCACTTGCGCCCAATTGCCCTCTCGTCCCACTGGGAAAAACCTTCGCCCGTATTCTGCTTGCGCGTGCTGGGGGCTGCCTGAGAGCATGTGGGCCGCAGCAGCTGGCCACACCAGGCCAGGCCGGCAAGGCTGCAACATGGTGGGGTGGCGAGGCATGTCTGTTCACTGGGCAAAGCAGGGCTTGATGGTGAAGCTGGGCTTGAGGCGCGCTTTTGACAGCGTGGACAGGAGGGCTCTTGCTACCAAAATCTCGTCTTGGATGGGTGAGGAGTTCAGCCGCCTGATCGATGACCTAGGTCGGGAATTTGTGACCTGCTGATGGGTTGCGGGACTCGGCGGCCGCGTTTATGGATGACATCCTGACTCCTTGCGCGCCTTCTTTCAGAACCTGTTGCCCCGGCTGGGGGCCTTCGGTCTTGTGTTGCAACCCGCTAAGTGCCAACTGATGCTTATCGGAGGCGCT